GGCTAGCTCATGCCCGAAATAACAACACACAAACTGTATTCATTTAAAGAACTGCTTGGCCCATGAACTCTAGCCCTTACAGGCTAATTCTCGCACCTGGACTAGCCCATTTCTAATGATGTGTGTAAGCACCCCAAGGTGCGCTTACCGGGAAGATTCTAGCCTTCGTCCATCCTGGGAGAGTGTAGCATGGCAAGCATGGCGTCTCTGCTCCAGAGCAGAGCTGTCGAGTCTCTCCGGGAGCAGAGCAGAGTCTCTGCTCCTTGACTTTCTACAATTCAACAAGTTGGGAAATAATTCAGGTATCCATGAAAGGCACACGAGTTAGGGGAGCAAAACCTATATCCATTAACCTTTATTATCCATTTTAATATTTTATAGTTTTGTACAAGCTTCCTGAAAGTTACATATAATCAAAAGAGGGAAAACTTCACATGTACTAGTTTCCTATTTAAAAAAAAAACAATTCTAACATACATGAATCAAAGGAAATGTATTTCCTTAATATAGGTAAAACAAACAAAAACCGCCAGAAAAAATAGGATATGGTTTTGGTTAATTCTGACTAGAACAAACCATTTTATGTGTTTTTTTTTTTTTTTTTTTTAGGATAAAACATCAGAAACACTGGAATAAGATAGTACACCATCTTTAAGCCACTGAGGGTCACTGAATAGCAGCCATGTTTGAGGGCCTTGGGGGCAACATCCAAACGCATGAAGCTCGCAAGGCTAACATCCTTGGGCCTATCACTGTATACTCCACCTGTCGGACCTTCTGAGCCACCTTCTCTTTCCCTCCTAGGACCTTTGTGGGTCCAAAACGTTCACCTACTATTTGTAGAAATCACAGATTACACTAGCCTCTTGCCCCACAGTAAGAACCACAACCCTCCTCCCAGCCTTGTTTTACCTCTAAAACCCTTTTACTCCTGCTCAGAAGCAGTGGAGACCCTCTGCTCTCCTGGGCCTGGGCTTTTAGACCAAGCACTTGCAGTTCCCGTCTCACCCTCTTTGAAGATGGGAGCTCTCTCATGGACAGATCAGGAAACTGCCAAAAGCCTATGCAGTGGTGATCCCAGGTAATTCCAACAGTCTTTGAACAGCTGATGAAAACAAAAATATCTACCAACGGGAGAGTTCCTTCTGTCCCAGGTGATGGTGTTCCACCTGACACTGGTGGACCAAAGGGACCTATGCACCACCCTAGAGGAACCTCCCTTGATGTGGGATGCCCATCTATATGCTGTGAATATGTATTATTACCATGGCCATTTGTTAAGAAAGCTGTTTTGGCCAATAGCCAGGCAGAATAGATTCAGGTGGGAAATCCAAGGAGAATTATAGGGAAAAAGAAGGTGGAGTCAGGGAGACCCCATCGATCACCCCAGGAACACCATGCCAGAGCATTTCTGCTGAGCCATGGGTACGTGGTGATACACAGATTAATAGAAACGGGTGAATGTAAATGTAAAAGTGAGCAGGTAGTAAGTCTGCCATGGCCAATCAGTTTGTAATTAATATTAAGCCTCAGAGTGGTTATGGGGGAACTGGTGGGTGGGAGAAAAAAAAAAACCCAGTTACACTCCCTTCATGGCAGTACCTGTGTGAACCCCTTTAGAGGCTGTATTTATACCACCAGTTCAGTGGTGGAATCCTCTGGATCAGGATTTCCCTTTTCCCAGACTGCCTAGACTCCCAGTTTTCCTTTTGCTATTCAGGTTCGCTCCCATTCTCCAAAGTCACTAATTCACCAATAACAGTCATTTGTGCACCCCTGGGAGGGTTCTGGTGTAAGGGGAGCCTGCCCAAAAATCTCTCATCTACATCTCTGCCCACCTCTCTGTGCCAGCCCCAGTCTCTCTGCCTGCCTGTGGATCGGGATACAAGATCTCATCTTCTAGACACAAAGGCCTCCGCAAATACAGCAGTGCATAATAGGTGCCTATGTGTCACCCTCCAAACACTGCTCAACATCCGGTCCCTGGGCCACCATCCCACATAGGCTATCAGGATATAGTTCTCAGGTCAAGCTGAATATGACCTCCACCTCCACAGCGAGTGCACATCCAGTGCTCTGTATCCAATCCAGCTGGACACGAACACGCCTCCATCACACATAGTACAGTAGGGATCACTGTACCATCCCAGCTCCTACTTCAGGTCAACGTACTTGGGTAGTTTTGAGGCACTTCTGGAATGCAAGTCACTGCCACATATCAAACAGAGCCTTCCACATCACAATGCATGCATGCCAGCACCAGAATGTATATCTAGGAGTGTGTGAGGGGTAGCTGGGGACAACAGTAGGTGCTGATTTGTAGCAGGGGACATGGGGCAGCAGGGAGGTTCCTGTGGGGCACGGGCATATCCAGCAGGGCCTGGTGCCTTACATTGTTGATGCACAGCTGCAGGGTGGTTTGTTCAGTGGAAGTTAATACTTAGTATGGGGAGTGGTGATGGTGTGTTTAGCCCTAGTCTTTCTGGTCTTTAGAGACGGCAGGGTGGAGACTCCCAGTAATATGTCTCACCTCTTCTCCCTTGTCAGCTAAGTTCTTTCATCAGACCAAGGCATTTTTGCAGCCCGGGGCAGTGCCCAAGACCGTCAGAGCTGGAAATGGCCCAACCTAGACTTTGGAAGAGTTCTGCTCCTAGCCCAACCCTTCATGCAGCAGGATGGAGGATGAGAGGCACCTATGGACGAGGAAGGAAGATGGGCAGAGTACATTTGCCTGAACCAATTCCTGTGGAGTGAGAACGACAGACAACGCAGATGGCTTAGAACAGGAATTTGCTGTCTCCAAGCTCTGAGGTCCTGGGGATTGGCAGGTCCAAGCTCCTCTAGTGGCCTTGAGGGGGGTCTGCTCCAGTCAACCTCCAGCTTCTGTTTCCTAGGCTGGTGGCATCAGAGCTCCAGTCTCCTCAGGTCATCTTCCCTGTGTGATTCCGTGTCTCAGGCTTCCTGGCCATAGGGCACGAGGCTGTGCGGGTTTCTCCTATGGCTTTACAGCTTTCATGACTTGTTTTAATTTTTAGACTTACATCAGATATAACCTGTGTGACCTGGAATTTTTTCACGTGGATTTTTGTATTGTTTGCTTTTCTAATATTTGTTCTGCAGTCATTTGTGGACAGACCATTTTCTCTGCCTTGATTTCCATGGTGGCCTCTCACAAAATTAGTTGACTTGATTTAGGGGATCTGTTGCTGGACTCTGTGGTCAGCTCCATCTGTCTAGCCTCCATTCTTTCCCCTGAGGACTTTCTGCATAACTGACTGAGGCTTTTGCGAGTGCTGGGACCTAAGTATGGGATCTTCAGGGGCCTTCCAACTTCTACCAACTCTTGCAGGTTTAAGCCTAGTTGCTTGTAGCTACATTTGATGTGTTGGGCGTCAGTTTGTCATTCTTCTGGTCTATAGATGAAGTTCAAATGATCTGTCACCTTAACTGTGCTGCTGAAGAGCAGGGCTCTGAGAGTCTATCCCTTTAGATTCCTTCCAGCCATGCCTCAGTGTTCTCAACGCCAATGTATGTCAACTCTGTTGGATTTCTACTTTAGGGCTGCAGTATTGGGGTCTGTGGTAAACTGTATCTATGTGGTACCAAAGAGAGATGGTTCACCTAGATGACATGGGATAGGGGTCCATGGTCACTGCCCTCCTCAGGAGATCCAGCTCAGCAGCCAGAAGCATGAGCCACCTGACTGTGCCAAGGCAAGCACGGCTCAAGGGAATTGCCTTCTCACACTAAGTGTCCCACGGAGACCTTCCTCCTTCCCAAGGAGAGCCTCCTGCTAAACCTCAGATCTGGCTCGGGAAACAAGGATGCCCTGAACCTTATGTGGGCCCCAGAAAGGTAAATCGTTTTGTCACTCTCCACAGAGCATCATGTTCTAAGACTGGGTGGCAAAATGAACTGGCTCCCTAGGAGGCCCTACCCACATCCCTGACACCACAGTTCCTCAGTGACAGCATTAAGCCACGGGCTACGTGTTAAAACCGCACTTACTGTCTGAAATTCCCCATAGCAAGGGCCGTGTACATGGCAGAGAATGCCAAGTGTGTGGGATTCAGGGACTAAAGGCAAATACAGTGCCTGCCTCCTTCCTATGTGACCTCTTCAATGGACACCAGCAGAGAAAGCTCAGGGACTTCTGTCTGCAGGAATGAGCTTGGCCTGGCTGGACCTCAGCTGGCCAGAACCAGTTCCCCATCAACAAGATTGCACCTGGGCCCTCTGCCTTGCTGCTCTCTGCCTGATGCTTCTCCACCTGAGTCAGGGTAAACACGTGGTCAAATAAGCTCCCAGGTCACACCCAGCACAGCTGCTGAGCTAACAGCTCTGAAAGCAAAGCACTGGCGTGCACTTTGGAAACTCCGAGGGACCTGGATGTTGCCACAGCAGACTTTGTTGCTGGGACCAAATGGCCTGGCTCATAACTGAAAGAGCATCCCCATCAAACATCCTGTGTCCCAACGAGCAAGTTACTGAGCATCTCTGAGAGTCAGCTTCCTCCCCTGTGAGGTGGACATCAGGGCTACTTTGGAATGGTGTATGTAAAGATCCTGGTGCACAGTAGCTTCTGGTGACTGCACACATCCCCTCCAGCAGCGTGGGTATTGTGCAGGCAAGTACTGAGGGTGGTGTTGGGTTTGTGGTCCTGCTCATCATCTGACTTTCTCCTCTCATGTTGAAGACTAAAAGCAACACCATTTATTAAGCAGATAGAACATGATCATCCCCACCCCCACAGAGCTATCCAGCTCCCTCTATGGTCTTTAGATAAAGGCTCTTTCAGAAAAGACCACCTAGTTAGTGCTCAAGCTCTTGACTCTCTGGAGCATCTGTCTAAGGGCTAACAGGACATAGCTGCCACCTTCTCCTTGCCCAGGCCCTGACTTTACTGGGGTGTGGTTGGCCCAAGGGCCTAGCTCAGTAGTTATCCAATGACGTGGACTCATTCTGGCCCCACGAGCAAGCTCAGGGCCAGGCAGTGTGAGGCTTTCCTCCTACTCATGACCCTGAACCCATTCAGATGAACTGTCCTGCCAGGGACAGAATTGCCAGAGGCCACATCAGAAGAGCAGCAGGGAGCCATTGACCTCAGAGCATGGGCCCACCAGGAAGCAAAGCTCTGGTGGATAAAGCTCTGCTGGGTAAATCTCCAATAGGAAAGGCCCGACAACCTCGGCCCAAGCATGTCTCTTGCTGCTGCTGTGCCTTGGCATGTGTGCCGCTGCTATCTTTCTCTGGTGTCTGGCATGGCATGAACGGGCATGGGAAGATCCCCGCTGCCCTCAATGTAGTCTTGGAAATATCCTATTCTACTGGGCATTTTTACCTGTGGATTATTGTGAAGGTGTGCCGCGGACCGTCCCTCTCGGAGACCACCACCCACGGGGGACCAGGGTGAAGGATAGGATAGTCAGGATACGACTCTCACCAGGACGCTGCAGGTTCGCCGGTAAAGGATGACCGGTTAAGTGTGAGTAATCTAAGTATAAGGGAACCATGGGGCAACATACCAAGGGTGGAGCATTGGCTAGTATTAGGCAAAAGAATGAAGAATCCTATCAGGACTTTATTTCCAGGTTAGAGGAGGCAGTCACCAGAATGCTGCCTCCTTCGGAAGGAACAGATATGTTATTGAAACAATTAGCATGGGAAAATGCCAATGCTCCTTGTCAAGATCTTATTCGACCTCTAAGAAAGACAGGGACATTAAATGATTTTATTAACGCATGTATGGATGCCTCACCAGACATAGTCCTAGAGATGGCCTATGCTGAAGGAATGAAGGGATAGAAATTAAGCGCCTATGTTAAGAAAACCTATGGAGGAGGTCAATAGAACCTCTCGGCTCCCACTTGTTATAAATGTGGGGAAT